ACGCAGTAATAGGTGAAGGTAAAGTGGGTGCAATAGCAGGTTCTTTTGGATTAGGCAATAGAAATGATAGGGGAGATAATCTGATAGACTTTTGCGATAAACATAACTTAACCGTCGCGAATACTTTATTCAACCATCACGTTAGGAGGCGCTATACGTGGAAGAGGGTAGGTGATTTAGGGAGATACCAGTTAGATAGCATACAAGGACGTTTAGAGAAGTAGGATACAGTAGTAATAGTAATATAAGAAACGAGGTAGGGTTATTTTAATAGAAAATAAAGAAAAGGTAGACAGGCGGAAAGAATATTTAAAGAACCTATACGCAAGCCAGGAGTTAGGAGATATATTAAAGAAGGAAGATAGTGTGGAGATAGATGAACTAGATTATCCCATAATAGCATTCAAAAACTTAAAGGATAATAAGGCACCAGATAGAATTCTACAGAGGAGGATGGAAAAAAGGGCGGAAGAACTATTAGGGGAAGATCAATTTGGGTTTAGAAGAAATAGAGGAAGGCGGGAGGTCATTCTAGCTTTACGGATTACAATAGAGAAAACGATAGAACAAGTAAAAAGCGCGTACATAGAATTTGCACACTTAGAAAACGCTTTTGACAATGTTAAATGGGACAAGATGTTAAATATACTTATAAATGTAGAGATGAGTTACAGAGATAGAAGAGTGATGCTTAGTTTGTATAAAGAGCAACAGGCAGTTATAGAGCAAGGGTTGCAACGTAGAGAAGTAAATATTAGGAAGGGAGTCGGACAGGGATGCACACTGTCACCGCTACTTTTAAATCCATACATCGAAGACGCTATCAGCATCATTAAAGACAGTACAACTGTAGGGATAGGTATACAGAGACAAAACATTAGTATGCTTAGATTTGCAGATGATATAGCAGTATTAGCATCTTGCAAGGAGGAGTTAGAGATAGAAGTAGGGTAACGTAAAAAGATAGAAGACAAAAAGTTAGAATAATTGTAAACAATGAGATGCCAACATTCAGTCTATCTATCGATTCCTACAATTGTACTGCGTTTAATGATGTTGATCGCGTCTTCGATGTATAGATTAAAAAGTAACGATGACAGTGTGCATCCTAGTTTGACTCCTTTCCTACTATTTACGTCCCATTGATTATATTCAATTAATTGTTAATTTCCTTGTTTTGATCGAATTAATATCAGTTAATATGAGACAACGAATTTTTTTTTCAGTCTAAACTGCATTTGAAAAACGTTAAGCATAAGTATCTACCTGCTGACCGAGAAAATTTATCATGAAGATTAAATCAATTCAGTAAACTTTTTTTATTGTGTTGACTTCTAAAAAAAATTAGGTCAATCTAATAATAATATCAAAGTTTATGAGTATACTTTTTGTTTTCTGGTTTTTGTTTTACTAAATCTTGAGCCTTACTCATTATATACATAATCCAAATCCAAATTATATACATAATCCACTTGACTTGTAAATGGTAAATATATAATTATATTAAGGCAGGCAACTGCGTGTCGAAAAAAATTATCTGTGCTCTGATTTTTACCATTCTGTTGCTTTGCGTGGTGTTAAAGTGTAAACTCGTTGATGTGTAGGTCACGTAAAGTATATTGAAGAACTAAGTTACCAATAAAGTCACGAAGATCTTAAATGAATAATTAATGTTAAATGTATGTACATACAGTGTGTCTTACGGTGACCATTAGAATATTTAAGAAACTACTTCGATTTAAAATTTGAAAATTTGTACAATGGTTTTATTAGGTATGCTCTCCTCAATTAAAATAACGACATCTATGTAGTACTTACAGTAATACCAAAAGTTGGCATCAACTTCGTTATTTTAAATAGGACACCCTATATATTATGACGGTTTTGAATTCTTCTTATGATTCTAGGTAGATTTTCATAAGACTTTTTCACTTCTAAAATTTGCAGTTTTTGAAATATTAATTTTTTTTTTNGAAAGTATGGGTGTGTGAGTGACAACATTTAACTTACAGTATTTGTTTTCAAGTTCTGCTAAGAATTTCACAGCAATTTTCGTAAAAAAATAAACGATTTTAGTTGCTTTCACAAAGAACAATAACTAATTTGAAAACTATAAAAGATGGGTATAGAGAACAATTGTACCATTCGACAGAAAATAATTGTGCATAAGGCTGCGAAAAAACATATACATAGTTTCAATTTAAGAATGAACTTGCGATTGTTTGAAAATAGCCAAATCCATCATTAAATATCTAACACCCTGTATGTAATTAACTCTCACTTTGAAAGTATGGACGGGAAGCTTGAAAGCTACTCTGTGCTAATTTTTTTTAAAAGGTTTAGTAGTAAGAACGCCTTACAAATGTCTTACTAGAAATCATAAGTACAATTCAAAACTACCAAAATATATAAGGTGTTCCATGTAAAATAACGAAGTTGATATCAACCTCCGGTATAACTAGAAGTGCTACATAGATGCCCTTATTTTAATTGAATAGAGATTGGGTATGCAAATTTTAGAAGTAGAAAAGCCTTATGAAAGTCTACCTAGAATCATGAGCAGAATTTAAAACCGTCATAATATTTAGGGTTTCCAATTTAAAATAACAAATTTAATGTCAACTTTCGGTATAACCGTAAGTGCTAAATAGATGACGTTTTTTTAATTGAGTAATAAAATAATAAATCGAAGTAGTTTCTGAAATATTCTAAATGGCCGTCACCATATGACACCCTGTATATACAGTGTGCTCTAGAATTCGATCTTTGTTATTATATTTTTAAAGTTTACTGAAAGAATATTTTTCTTGATTTGTAGAAAACACCTGAAATTATTTTATCGACCATTGGGAAAAGTATAACTTTTTGAAAAACGTTTAAATTTTGAACTATTTTCACAACCACCCCTAAAAACTATCCCCAAACTATCCCTAAACATAAGTTTGATTCAGGAGTTATGATCTGCATGTTTTGTAACAAAATTCTAAAAAAAAATGAACAAACGAATCTCGCGTTGACTTAAGTTGTTAAAATAAAGAAAGTTACAAATATGCAAACTTGGCCTTATCTTTTACAAGTCAACTAATACTTTATATCCGAAATCCACGTGGGCGAAATCAAGAGTAAAAGCTAATTAAGCAACAAATAAAAAAAGTGCGTATAAATACAATTATCAGTTTAGGTAGCTTTTGTAATAACAGAAAGAGCAATGAAAGTCGTAATTAATTTTTTTCACGGCCTAACGAAACCTTTCCGTTACCAGGATTTTATTTTCCTCATTTCTAATAATGTAATAAACACGTAAATTAATTAAAGCTTTCAAAACGAGGGACCATTCTGTATTGATCGATTTACAAAGTAATTTAAAACGTTGATTAATTTACCACTATTAATAAGAATGAATATCACCAACAAAATATGCTATTAAACAAAGGTTTAGCTTTACCAGCTATAAAAAATTACATTTAAAAAATCCTGGTAATAAGGGGTCAGACTCACCCACTGGGGATTCCGAGAGACTGAGATTAATGAAATTGTTTAAGATTTCGTGCACACGAGGTGATGTTAATCCAAGTAAAAGCTCTGTCCCAAAAACAACGATTATAATCAAAAATCAAACTCTACTCGTTTTATATTTGTTTTTTTTTTTGTACAATAATGGTCTTGCTTCTTCGATCTTGGTCTTGGTCATACTCAAATGCTTCTAATCTTGATCTTGGTCTTACTGATATAGTCACGGTTCTGGTATTGGTCTTGGTTTTGATCTTGCATATTAAGTATTGGTCTTTTAGTCTGATACTTTTTTTTAATTATTCTTCTAAGCACAAATTTTTCTACTTACCGACACAATAATTGTGCTTTTCTGTCATACATTCCAGCTTGTCATGACTTAAAAAAAATAGTGTCGATAGTTATGAAAAATCGAGAACTAATCCTTCCTTCAATGTATTGATCCAATAAATTGACTTCCTCCAACGCATAAACTGACTTTTAAGCGAACAAAATTGTACAAGGTACTTGAAAGAAGTAAAAGATATCGAAAACAAATTGGTTTATCTCTATATTCCAACCATGTGTTATTAAGACATAAGAACAATGAACACTTAATCCGAGGACATTCTTGTAGATCCCTTTTTTTAAACTGTGGTAAATTTCCCTTTTTTTTATATATTTACTGTTAAAATCTAGTAAACCAAACTAAAAATTTCAAATACTAGAAATGTTTTGTTCCAAAAAATGAATATATTAAGGTTGCTTCAAGTAGATTAACTCATAAATCTACAGCAAGTCATAATTTTTTATTTAATCCTGCCTATTTGGTTAGAAGCGTTCAAAATGTGGTGTTATCGGCGAATGTTGAGGATACCGTGGACAGAGAAGGTTAGATATGAAGAAGTTTTAGAAATAATAGGAGAACAGAGGACTATGAAAGTCAATAAGAAATAGACGAGATAGGTTGGTAGAACACCTCTTCATGCATGAAGGTCTAGTCAGAGACATATTAGAGGCAGAAACAGGAGTTAAAAGGAGTAGAAGTAGATCTAGATTAGATTACTATTCACAAATAGTTAAGGACGTGGGCTGTTCTAGTTTTAGGGAAATGCGAAGATTATCTCAGGATAGGAAGGAGTGGAGGTGCGTGTCCAATCAGTCTTAGGACTGATGACCTTATGATGATGATGAGGATTTGGTCTTGATGTTGCATATTCGGTGTTGGTTTTCGTACTGGTCTTGTTCGTTCGGTCTTGGTTTTAGTCTTAGTCTTTGGTCTTACATTTTCGCAAAACCAAGACCAATTTTGCTCATGACTAGTTTTTTATTGTTCACTATCAACCGAAACGAATTCATTGAAAACTAGTAAGTCTTTTGTATGTGAAAATTCTTATGCTTCATAAGAAATGCACCAAACAACATTTAGACTGTATTAATTTAAAGTTGTTTCGCAATGATTTCTTTACCAATTGGAAATCCATGAGTAATTTTTATCTTTTTTTTTTCAGATTTATTCCGTTCTGCAGCGGAAGCAGGTCCGCACGACGTGGTCAAATTGTACAGCCGCACAGGTCAGCTACTCAATATCAGTGCAGACCTCGAGGCCAATACTCCTGAGACGAGATACTCGCTGCAAGTGGTCGCAGCGGACGGACTTGCTAGCGGCATGTTACGCGAAGAGACATGTCTTCAGTTAAAAGCCCTCGAAGAACGTATCACTGAAATTGAACGTCAATTAAAAAACGACCTTCCTCTGCCCGTTGCAGTGCAACAGTTGCAGCAGCAAGTCGATGGAATCCGACAGAAACTGTTGCACTG